AGCCCAGAGCATCGCCAGGGCAAGGATTTCCATGGGCTCCTTCTTCCGAAGGCTGGCTCACAGGTCAAGGGAGGTTCCACACTGTTGTGAGACCAAAGAAAGGATAAGATGAGGTGTCTGACTTCAAGAAGTTTCTAGTGTAGATCATAAGGGCATTAGGACTCATCATGGTATGCTACAGTGTTTAGGAATTTTTTCTAACAAAATTCTAAATGGGTATAACATCATACATATATATATAGTTATATATATATAATTAGATACTTATACTATATAAATATGTAATCAATATATATATATATTTATGTATATAAGATGTGCTCTGGTTGAAGCCAGAGCAAGGGGCCTTTCTTCCACTTCCTCCTATTTTGGCTCAGGGGCTCTTGAGGCACCACAGGATTCCAGTGCCCTTTGAAGCGGGTTGAAAAGAACTGGCATCATTGAGAAAAAAGGACTTGACTTGATGTCAAAAAACCTCTCCAGAGTGTAAAGTCCTGTGCCCCATTTACCAGCTATATTATCTTTCGCCAGTTATTCCAGCTCAGCATCAGTTTATACATCTCTAAAATGTGGATAAAAATAATGTCTAAATCTTAGAATTGTGGTAAACACTAAATAAGATGATGGATGGAATCCACAAAAAGCCATTAATAGGACTAGGAGAAGTGCCCCTGAGACTAGAGCTAGTACGATTTGAGCCTAGCTAATCACAGCTACCTGGCAGCAGTCCACCTTAGAAGGTAGACTTTCGATTCAGAACCTGGAGACACGTATCATCAATCCCTCCATATTTCTGACATTTCTTGGTTTTATGATGCTTACCACATTGCTTTGAGGAAATCTTTAGGACAATACAAGTCATCAGGAATTAAGATGAGTCTGGGGCGCCTGGGTGGCTCAGTCATTAAGCGTCTGCCTTCAGCTCAGGTCATGATCCCGGGGTCCTGGGATCGAGCCCCGCAACGGGCTCCCAGCTCTGAGGGAAGCCTGCTTCTCCCTCTGCCCCTCCCCCTGTTTGTGTTCCCTCTCTCGCTGTCTCTCTCCCTCTGTCAAAATATAAATAAAATCTGTAAAAAAAAAAAAAAAAAGGAAAAAGAAGGTTCAGCGTATTAAACAACAACTACTACTAGTACTCTCTCTTCTTCCTTAGACTCCGGCCCTATGACTGTGACAAGCCGTTCTTTCAGAGCCAGGGCCTTTTGTCGGGGTTGCAGCACTTGCAGGCACACCCAGTGCACAGCCCCACCTTCCGCAAAGCCAGTACAGCTCTTTGGAGTTTCGCTCATGGATATGTGTTATAAAGACAACCTTCCCTTCCCAATTCTGGTAGGTCATCTCCTTTGGTCTTCTATAGCCCTCCTGAGGAGGGGACACTCTGAGAGGCCACGTGTCCTCATCCAAATCTATCCTCAAATGGAGTAGTCATTAGACAGCCCCTGGTTTTGGCTGAGAAGCTCTGTTACTGTTATTTCAAGGAACAGAATCTGACTTAGTTCCAGCAGAGTCATGAGGCAAATACAACAGGAAAAGACATTCTTGTCCATTCCACCTGGGTCTTGTTTTCACAAAGACCCACCGAGGCTTATTCAGATCAGTCAAAATGGACTCTGTGTATGTGAGTCTCTGAGAGTCCACCTCATCTTCACACTCTCCCTTCATTGCCTTCCTGCACTCACATGAGTCTCAAGTCTCCTTCAGCGGAGTCTACTCAGTCTAACAACTGCAAACATCTGACACAAGCATAGACTCATCCTCTGGCAAATAGGAATCTGTTAATCCTAACAGAGTATGTCAAATGGAAGCCACAGAGTTTGGCCTGTGTTATCTCAAACTGCTGTAGTGAATTGTCAGTGTGGACATTCACTGAGTATTCGGTGTCTCTGCAAGCACTGTGCGAGATGTAGGGAACGTTCTGCTAGCTATGAAGAAATGTATCATTTTAGCTAGCATGTTACCTGCTAGCTACTACCCCAGGTCCTTGCATCACAGGAAATTTAGGGGCTTGCTAGGATTATCATCCTCCGCACTGCCTAAAGGAATCAGAAAAGCCTCAGTACAGGATGCATGTGCCCCAGCTCACACAATATATAATTAGCATAATAGACTTCAGATCCATTGGATTCCCTGAGTCCAGCCCTTATTAAGTTTCTACACAGCAGGGAAAGGATATGAAGTTACAGCAAAAGACAATGAAAGACTCATGAGAAGGGAGGGTAATCAGAGAAGGAGAAGAGAGTTTCTGAGCCTGACTTTAAAACAGGGAAGGAAATAGAACAAGTAGGAATGGAGTATACAGTCACTTAAAGAGAAATAAACAAATGGGAAATGAGTATTCCCTAAATAGACTTCCATACTTGGGGAAGAGCATCTATGTAGGGAATAATGAGAAAGAAATGCTAAATTAGGAAACAGACGGTGATTCCCCAAAGGCCTTGAAGCGGAGAAGTTTGATTTAAAAGTGGAAACTCAGTGGACAGGAAAATCTGATTAAAAGAAGTTTTTAAACTGTTTCACTGTATGATTGTAAAATGGATATTTGGGTCAAAACTATATAGAAAGACACTGAAAAAAAGAAACCAATCTAAATTGACTTTACTCCTTCCCACTCTAAAACAGTGTACCATTATATTCCCGTGCTCTTTCAAAATGCAGGCAAGCTTGTGCTCTGCGTTTGTGGATATGAGATGCCATATACTTTTCTTTTCTTCCTACAGGATATGCTTTCCTTTATTAATCAAAAAGGGCCCCTCACAGAAGGCATATTCAGCAAATCAGCCAATATAAAATCCTGCATGGTCCTAAAGGAGAAACTAAATTCTGGGGTCAAAGTGAACCCGTACAGCGAATCTGTTCATGTGGTCGCATCCGTCTTAAAGGTAGGGAAGGTTCTACCATTATCCACACACGAGTAACTGAAGCTATGAGGCACACTTTAGTCCTTCAACAAGACTCCTCAAGAACCATAAAGGGCATAATAGATTAAGAACCTGACAAGCTAAAAAACCCTTGAGAAAATCAAAATTTAAGGAAGCTACTTTAGGATTTAAAAGCCCCATGTATTAGAAATACTTTGTTTACACTACACACCGCCCTCCCCACTTTCACTCCTAAAGACTCCATGCAAAATACTAATACTGAAATGACTACTAGTCATGATAATAAATTTCAAAATACGCACCGATACATACACACTGTTTACCCATGCAAACATCCTCACCACCCTCCTAATGAAGGCAAACTTTCCAAAAGAAATAGAACAGGGAAAGAATTTAATCCATCCACCTTGGCACTTATGTACAGCTCTGAACAACCCTATGTTAACGTAGTAATGACTACAGTCGTAGAATCTCAGTCACATTTCGTCTTCCCTTGTCCCCCGTTAATGTTCGAAGATGTGATCAATAGCAAAGTCCAGAAATGACTTAGGTAACCACTCCTACACTGCGGTCATAGTGATATCCAGTAGTAATATACATATAGGCATCAGGAGACAGGAGAGGAATGATGATACACTAGGTAGCAAGATGAGTGTTGCCCTCTGTAAGGTGTACACATGGAATCCATTTTCTAGCAAGAGTTAGGAGGTTCTTTCCTGATTCCGTGTTATAAGCACCGACTAGGAAGAGGGTGAGCACTTGTGGGGAGAGTGCTTAGACATTTCTAAACTTTTCTCTTCTTGAAGTTGACGGATCTTGGTGGAGAATGAGACTCTGCAACCTTGGCCTTGATACTATCATGGCAAACTAACTGGATATTGTCCTAAACTAGAAATGAATCTATCCTCAGGACCACAGTGAGTCTGCCATTGGACTCTCGACTTTTAGACAGTTAAGAAAAGGAAGAATGAAGCAATTGTGAGAGTAGCTTTCTTCCAGGGAGCACGCATACCCCGAGTGAGAAGACCTACTTCTTTCCTAATATGTGTGCCAGAGCCCACCTGTTTGTGTTTTGATTGTTTCAGGCCTTTTCTTGCTAGAATTAAGAGCTAGCAGTGTGCCTAAAACAAGCAACATGGGTATGTGTATTTCTGTCCAAGAAGCTAATAGGATTTAGGATGGTCTATAGCCAGACGCTGTCAGTTTGTGGTACTTTGCAAAAAAAGCACACATACAAAATAAGTTCCAGATGATACAAGGGAGCTTTATCTTCATTTCCACCACAGGCTAAGCTCTGCTTTTATGCCTCTAAGTTTTAGCGGGAGAAAATCCAAGGACCTGCTCCTGCGTGTGCAAGTCAATGGAGAGTCAGAGCCGAGCTCCGTGTGGGTCCCAGTTTGGGTATCTGTGAAGGAAGTGGGGGCTGAACTGAATTTTTTAACTACATATTTTCTCTAGAATATTTCCAATGCATATTTTTCTATAATATATACACATATTTTTTTTTATCTCCCTAAGGACTTTCTGAGAAATATCCAAGGAAGTATATTTTTATCTGATCTCTATGACAAATGGCTCGGTGTTATTGATCAAGGCAACAAAGAGGAGATGATAATGGGAGCCCGGAGGTAACGATGCATAATTACTCTACTCTGGTCACATCTCCAAATAATACCCAACATAATATGAGGAAAACATTGGCTTACATTTTGCAGCTTTGCCCACTATAATCATGACCAACGCCAAAGAGTTTCAATTCTTCACGCCCATGGGGGCCAGCTCAGAATAGAGGCACACTTTAGGGCTATTATTGTTCTTCTCCTGATCTTATTAATGTGGACTCCTTGGCCGTTTTACACCTTCTGGATCCATGAAACTGGTAGACAAAATTCCCTGGTCCAGAACAGATCAAGAGCAACAACTGCCAGGGCTATGACCTTAAAAGTCTGTCAGATATTTAACCAACCAGGCAAGTGTGTATCTGGCTCAGGAACTGAATTCAGTGCAACAATTTTGTATACATCCATGCCTGGAACGCTGCTAGAGCGGGTTGTGTGCTAGATATACAAGGATGTATCCTGTTCCCTGTCTCTGTTTTTCCAACCTCCTAAGTGGAATCACTTGCCTAATTTAAAAGTGTGTTTTTCTGACCTTAGGCTTTTAGCCCAGCTGCCAAGAGCAAATGTTGTTCTCTTGCGATACCTTTTTGGAGTGCTATACAACATTGAGCAACATTCGTCATCCAATCAGATGAAAGCTTATAATTTATCCGTTTGTATAGCCCCATGCGTTCTTTACCCACCTGATTCCGAAAGCTTGGAATTGGAAGACAACATGATAAAAAAGGTAATGAGAGGTCTCATTCTTGTCCCCCAGGGGGTAGAATCCCTTCTTTGAACCGGACATGTGCAGTAGTAACTCTGACGGATGGAACTTTGTGAACTGCACATTTTCATTAGGCCCCTGTGGAATGGCAGAGTTCTTTATGCTACTCTGGCGGGGTCTGGAAAGGGGTGTCGTTAAACGGGAAACTCAGAGTGGTCGAGTCACTTCTTCTCTCTCCAGGAGACTAAACCTAGACTGACTAAAAAAGAGATAGAAGAGTCGTGTGATACGATAGAAAAAACCTGGGCTTTGGAGCTTCACCAGTCAAGGTTCAACTCTCAGCCTAATCCCTGAGGGACTCGTAACCTTGGGCAAAGCCATGGTTTCCTCACTGCACAATGGCGACAACAGCCAGCTCCTCTGGTCATCACTGGCACATCCTGGGTGGCTTGGGCAATATGAGCCCCCATGCCTCCAAACACATTGGCCTTCCTCTGCCAATTGTGGCTCATCTAGAAAAGTACTCGGCTACTATTTCACCTCTGCTACATCATATGGAAACTAGGAAGAGATTCCAGAATATCCTAATAAGATGACAGGTCTTCCCCAAGCTCACCAAGAGAGCCAGCATGAGGCAAAGCAATGCGTGAGAATGGACTGAAGTTAGACAGACAGATACATTTTCTCTCCAGCTGTGTGGGTTTTCCCTCACAACCGCACCAAAATCCCTGCTTCCCAACTTTAAGATACTTCTTCATTTAAGAAATGGTTTTAAGTTTTTGTTCATACTTCATTAAGTTTCATAAGATGTTATACATCAGTTACAGCTCAATAAAACTGGAAACAAAATTTAAAGCAAAAAATAAGTAAACTTTAATAAGGTAGGCTACTTTGAAAATTATCCTAGTTTTATTTATTTTTTGATATGTATTTATTTAAGAGATGGAAAGAGAGAGGATGAGTGGGGCAGGGGCAGAGGAAGAGGGAGAGGGAGAAGCCTAAGCCGATTCCCCGCTGAACACGGAGCCCAAAGTTAGCTCCATGTGCGGCTGGATCTCACCACCATGACATCGTGATCTGCGCCGAAATCAAGACTCAGACGCCCAACTGAGGGGCCCAGAAATTTATCCTAGGCTTAAAGATGTAACCACTGATCCCAAAATGTTAGCTCTTAAACTAGGCCACGCATTATAACTTTAGCCCACTGATGAGCAGTATTTTAAAATGTGTATCCAAAGTACACGGGAAAGTATCACTCTTTCTAAGTTATTTCAGAGAGAACTCTGGTTTCTATGTGTTTTTGGGTTTTTTTGTTTTTTCCTTAAACTTTTATTTATTTACTTGACTGAGAGAGACACAGCGAGAGACGGAACACAAGCAGGGGGAGTGGGAGACGGAGAAGCAGGCTTCACGCTGAGCAGGGAGCCTGATGTAGGGCTGATCCCAGCACCCTGGGATTATGACCTGAGCCGAATGCAGACGCTTAACCAACTGAGCCACCCAGGCGCCCCTGGTTTCTACATATTTTTATCAACTCTGAATTTTTCTGAGAAGTCCTTCCCATTTTTTCTTAGATCCAAGGTCTGTATCGAAAATGTGATTTATAACTATGCCCTATGGAAAAGAGCACCCCATTCTTGTCTTTTTGTGTTACAGATATGTCTTGTACAATTTCTCATTGAAAATTGCCTCAAGATATTTGGAAAAGACATCACTTCCCTCTTGGGCAAGAACTCAATGAGTCGTGGTAACAGCGAGAAGGCTGCAGGTACCGGGAGTAATTTAATTGGGTTTAGTGAGAAGCAGACAGCAAGGTTACCAGGGGTCATGGGAGATGCTTAGACAGAACTGTTCTGGAGCCCAGAGCATCGCCAGGGGAAGGATTTCCATGGGCTCCTTCTTCCTAAGGCTGGCTCACAGGTCAAGGGAGGTTCCACACTGTTGTGAGACCAAAGAAAGGATAAGATGAGGTGTCTGACTTCAAGAAGTTTCTAGTGTAGATCATAAGGGCATTAGGACTCATCATGGTATGCTACAGTGTTTGGGAATTTTTTCTAACAAAATTTTAAATGGGTGCTATATATCTATATATATATATACAACACCATACATATATATGTAGTTATATATATATATATAATATATAATTAGATACTTATACTATATAAATATAACAATAATATATATATTTATGTATATTAGATGTGCTCTGGTTGAAGCCAGAGCAAGGGGCCTTTCTTCCCCTCCCTCCTCTTTTGGCTCAGGGGCTCTTGAGGCACCACAGGATTCCAGTGCCCTTTGAAACAGGTTGAAAAGAACTGGCATCATTGAGAAAAAAGGACTTGACTTGATGTCAAAAAACCTCTCCAGAGTGTAAATTCCTGTGCCCCCATTTACCAGCTATATTACCTTTGATCAGTTTTTCTAGCTCAGCATCAGTTTATTGATCTCTAAAATGTAGATAAAATAATGTCTAAATCTTAGAATTGTGGTAAAGACTAAATAAGATGATGGATGGAATCCACAAAAAGCCATTAATAGGACTAGGAGAAGTGCCCCTGAGACTAGAGCTAGTACGATTTGAGCCTAGCTAATCACAGCTACCTGGCAGCAGTCCACCTTAGAAGGTAGACTTTCGATTCAGAACCTGGAGACACGTATCATCAATCCCTCCATATTTCTGACATTTCTTGGTTTTATGATGCTTACCACATTGCTTTGAGGAAATCTTTAGGAAAATACAAGTCATCAGGAATTAAGATGAGTCTGGGGCGCCTGGGTGGCTCAGTCATTAAGCATCTGCCTTCAGCTCAGGTCATGATCCCGGGGTCCTGGGATCGAGCCCCGCATCGGGCTCCCTGCTCCGAGGGAAGCCTGCTTCTCCCTCTGCCCCTCCCCCTGTTTGTGTTCCCTCTCTCGCTGTCTCTCTCCCTCTGTCAAAATATAAATAAAATGTGTAAAAAAAAAAAAAAAGGAAAAAGAAGGTTCAGCGTATTAAACAACAACTACTACTACTAGTACTCTCTCTTCTTCCTTAGACTCCGGTCGGAAGACTGTGAAAAGCCATTTTTTCAGAGACAGGGCCTTTTGGTGGGGCTCCGGCACTTCCCAGCACACCCAGTGCACAGCCCCACCTTCCGCAAAGCCAGGACAGCTCTTTGGAGTTTCCCTCATGGATGTGTGTGATAAAGACAACTTGCCCTTCCCAATTCTGGTAGGTATCTCCTTTTGGTCTTCTACAGCCCTCCTGAGGAGGGGAAACTCTGAGAGGCCACGTGTCCTCATCCAAATCTATCCCCAAATGGAGAAGTCATTAGACAGCCCTTGGCTTTGGCTGAGAAGCTCTGTTACCGTTATTTCAAGGAACAGAATCTGACTTAGGTCCAGCAGAGTCGTGAGGCTAATACAACAGGAAAAGACTTTATTATCCATTCCACATGGGTCTTGTTTCCACAAAGACCCACCGAAGCCTGTTCAGATAAGTCAAAAAGGACTCTGTGTATGTGAGTCTCTGAGAGTCCACCTCATCTTCACACTCTCCCTTCATTGCCTTCCTGCACTCACATGAGTCTCAAGTCTCCTTCAGTGGAGTCTACTCAGTCTAACAACTGCAAACATCTGACATGAGCATGGACTCATCCTCTGGCAAATAGGAATCTGTTAATCCTAACAGAATATGTCAAATGAAAGCCACAGAGTTTGGCCTGTGTTATCTCAAACTGCTCTAGTGAATTGTCAGTGTGGACCTTCACTGAGTATTCGGTGTCTCTGCAAGCACTGTACGGGATGTAGGGAACGTTCTCCTAGCTATGAAGAAATGTATCATATTAGCTACTTTGTTACCTGCTAGCTACTACCCCAGGTCCATGCATCACAGCAAATTTAGGAGCTAGCTAGGATTATCATCCTCCATACTTCCTAACCGATTCAGAAAAGCCTCAGTACAGGATGTATGTGCCCCAGCTCACACAATAGATAAGTAGCATAATAGACTTCAGATCCATTTTATTCCCTGAGTCCAGCCCTTATTAAGATTCTACACAGCAGAGAGAGGACATGAAGATAGAGCAAAAGAGAATTTAAGACTCATGAGAAGGGAGGGTAATCAGAGAAAGAGAAGAGAGTTTCTGGGCCTGACTTTAAAAGAGGGAAGGAAATAGAACAAGTAGGAAAGGAGTATAGAGTCACTTAAAGAAAAATAAACAAATGGGAAATGAGTATTCGCTAAATAGACTTCCATATTTGGGGAAGAGCCTCTACATAAGGGAATAATGAGAAAAGAATGGTAAAGTAGGAAACAGATGGTGATTCCGCAAAGGCCTTGAAGCATAGAAGTTTGATTTAAGAGTGGAAACTCAATGGAAAGGAAAATCTGATTAAAAGAACTGTTTAAATTGTTTCAGTGTATGACTGTCAAATGGATATTTGGGTAGAAAGTATATAGAGAGACACTGAAAAAAAAACAATCTAAATCGACTTTGGTCCTTCCTGCTCTAAAACAGTGTACCAGTACATTCCCCTCCTCTTTCAAAACGGAGGCAAGCTTGTGCTCTGCGTTTGTGGATATGAGATGCCATATACTTTTCTTTTCTTCCTACAGGGTATGCTTTCCTTTATTAATGAAAAAGGGCCCCTCACAGAAGGCATATTCAGAAACTCAGCCAATATAAAATCCTGCCATGTCCTAAAGGAAAAACTGAATTCTGGGGTCAAAGTGAACCCATACAGCGAATCTGTTCATGTGGTCGCATCCGTCTTAAAGGTAGGGAAGGTTCTAGCAGTATCTACACACGAGTAACTGAAGCTATGACTGGTGTCCTTCATCAAGACTGCTCAAGAACAATAATGGGCATAATAGATTAAGAACCTGACAAGCTGAAAAACGCTTAACAAAATCAAAATTTAAGGAAGCGACTTTAGGAGTTAAAAGCCCCATGTGTTAGAAATACTTTCTCTTTTCACTACACACCGCCCTCCCCACCTTCACTCCTAAAGACTCCATGCAAAATACTTATACTGAAATGACTATTAGTCATGATAATAAATTTCAAAATACGCACCGATACATACACAGTTTACCCATGAAAACATCCTCATCCCCCTTCCTAATGAAGGCAAACTTTCCAAAAGAAATACAACAGGGAAAGAATTTAATCCATCCACCTTGGCACTTATGAACAGCTCTGAACAACCCTATGTTAACATAGTAATTACTACAGTCATAGAATGTCAGTCGCATATGGTCTTCCCTTGTCCCCCGTTAATGTTCGAAGATGTGATCAATAGCAAGGTCCAGAAATGACTTAGGTAACCACTCCTACACTGGGGCCATAGTGATATCCAGTAGTAATATACATACAGGCATCAGGAGACAGGAGAAGAATCATGCTACACTAGGTAGCAAGATGAGTGTTGCCCTCTGTAAGGTGCACACATGGAATCCATTTTCTAGCAAGAGTTAGGAGGTTCTTTCCTGATTCCGTGTTATAAGCACTGACTAGGGAGAGGGTGAGCACTTGTGGGGAGAGTGCTTAGACATTTCTAAAGTTTTCTCTTCCTGAAGTTGATGGATCTTGGTGGAGAATCAGACTCTGCAACCTTGGCCTTGATAATATCATGGCAAACTAACTGGGCAATTGGCCTAAACTAGAAATGAATCTATCCTCAGGACCACAGTGAGTCTGCCATTAGACTCTCGACTTTTAGACAGTTAAGAAAAGGAAGAATGAAGCAATTGTGCGAGTAGCTTTCTTCCAGGGAGCACACATACCCCGAGTGAGAAGACCTAGTTCTTTCCTAATATGTGTGCAAGAGCCCACCTGTTTGTGTTTTGATTGTTTCAGGCCTTTTCTTTCCAGAGTTAAGAGCTAGCACCTTGTCTAAAACAACCAACATGGGTATGTGTATTTCTGTCCAGGAAGCTAATAGGATTTAGGATGGTCTATAGCCAGACCCTGTCAGTTTGTGGTACTTTACAAAAAAAAAAGCACTCACACAAAATAAGTTCCAGATGATAGAAGGGAGCTTTATCTTCATTTCCACCACAGGCTAAGCTCTGCTTTTATGCCTCTAAGTTTTAGCGGGAGAAAATCCAAGCACCTGCTCCTGCGTGTGCAAGTCAAAGGAGAGTCAGAGCCGAGCTCCGTGTGGGTCCCAGTTTGGGTATCTGGGAAGGAAGTGGGGGCTGACCTGAATTTTTTAACTACATATTTTCTCTGGAATATTTCCAATACATAGTTTCTATAGTTTATATTTATGTATATATATATATATATATATATATATTTTTTTTTTTTAATCTCCCTAAGGATTTTCTTAGAAATATCCACGGAAGTATATTTTTATCTGACCTCTATGACAAATGGCTCGGTGTTATTGATCAAGGCAACAAAGAGGAGAAGATAACTGCAGCCCAGAGGTAATGATGCCATAATTACTCTACTCTGGTCACATCTCCAAAATACAGCCAACATACTATTACGAAAACATTGGCTTACGTTTTGCAGCTTTGCCCACTATAATCATGACCAACGCCAAAGAGTTTCAATTCTTCACACCCATGGGGCCCAACTTCAGAATAGAGGCACGCTTTAGGGCTATTATTGTTCTTCTCCTGATCTTATTAATCTGGACTCCTTGGCCATTTGACACCTTCTGGATCCTTGAAACTGGTAGACAAAATTCCCTGGGTCAAGACACATGCAAGAGCATCAACTGCCAGGGCTATGACCTTAAAAGTCTGTCAAACATTTAACTAACCAGAGAAGTGTTTATCTGGCTCAGGGACTGAATTCAGTGCAACAATTTTGTCTACATTCATGCCTGGAACTCTGCTAGAGCGGGTTGTGTGCTAGAAATACAAGGATGTATTCTGTTCCCTGTCTCTGTTTTTCCAACCTCCTAAGTGGAATCACTTGCCTAATTTAAAAGTGTGTTTTTCTGACCTTAGGCTTTTAGCCCAGCTGCCAAGAGCAAATGTTGTTCTCTTGCGATACCTTTTTGGAGTGCTATACAACATTGAGCAACATTCGTCATCCAATCAGATGACAGCTTATAATTTATCCGTTTGTATAGCCCCAAGCGTTCTTTACCCACCTGATTTCGGCACCTTGGAATTGGAAGACAACTTGATAAAAAAGGTAATGAAAGCTCTCATTTTTGTCCCCCGGGGGTAGAATCCCTACTTTGAACCGGACATGTGCAGTAGTAACTCTGACGGATGGAACTTTGTGAAGTGCACATTTTCATTAGGCCCCTGTGGAGTGGCAGAGTTCTTTATGCTACTCTGGCGGGGTCTGGGAAGGGGTGTCGTTAAACGGGAAACTCGGAGCAGTCGAGTCACTTCTTCCCCCTCCAGGAGACTAAACACTAGACTGACTAAAGGAGAGAGAGAAGAGTCATGTGATACGATAGAAAAGAACCTGGGCTTTGGAGCTTCACCAGTCAAGGTTCAACTCTCAGCCTAATCCCTGAGGGACTCGTAACCTTGGGCAAAGCCATGGTTTCCTCACTACACAATGGCGACAACAGCCAGCTCCTCTGGTCATCACTGGCACATCCTGGGTGGCTTGGGCAATATGAGCCCCCATGCCTCCAAACACATTGGCCTTCCTCTGCCAATTGTGGCTCATCTAGAAAAGTACTCGGCTACTATTTCACCTCTGCTACGTCATATGGAAACTAGCAAGAGATTCCAGAATATCCTAATAAGATGACAGGTCTTCCCCAAGCTCACCCAGAGAGAGCGAGCATGAGGCAAAGCAATGCGTGAGAAGGGACTGAAGTTAGACAGACAGATACGTTTTCTCTCCAGCTGTGTGGGTTTTCCCTCACAACCCCACCAAAATCCCTGCTTCCCAACTTTATGATACTTCTTCATTTAAGAAATGGTTTTCTTAAGTTGTCATTCATACTTTATAAAGTTTCATAAGACAGTATACATCAGTTACAGCTCAGTAAAACTGAAAACAAAATTTAAAAGCAAAAAATAAGTAAACTTTAATAAGGTAGGCTACTTTGAAAATTATCCTTGTTTTATTTATTTTTTGATATGTATTTATTTGAGAGAGGGAAAGAGAGAGCGTGAGCGGGGCAGGGGCAGAAGAAGAGGGAGAGGGAGAGGGAGAAGCCCAAGCCCATTCCCCGCTGAGCACGGAGCCCAAAGTTGGCTCCATGTGGGGCTGCATCGCACCACCGTGAGATCGTGATCTGCGCCACAATCAAGAGTCAGACGCCCAACTGAGGGGCCCCGAAATTTATCCTAGGCTTAAAGACATAACCACTGATCCCAAAATGTTAGCTCTTAAACTAGGCCACGCATTATAACTTTAGCCCACGGATGGGCAGTATTTTAAAATGTGTACCCAAAGTACACAGGAAAGTATCACTCTTTCTAAGTTATTTCTGAGAGAACTCTGGTTTCTATGTGTTTCTGTTTCTTTGTGTTTTTTTTAAACTTTTATTTATTTACTTGACTGAGAGAGTCACAGCGAGAGAGGGAACACAAGCAGGGGGAGTGGGAGAGGGAGAAGCAGGCTTCCCGCTGAGCAGGGAGCCCGATGTAGGGCTGATCCCAGCACCCTGGGATTATGACCTGAGCCGAACGCAGACGCTTAACCGACTGAGCCACCCAGGCGCCCCTGGTTTCTACGTATTTTTATCAACTCTGAATTTTTCTGAGAAGTCCTTCCCATTTTTTCTTAGATCCAAGGTCTGTATACAAAATGTGATTTATAACTATGCCCTATGGAAAAGAGCACCCCATTCTTGTCTTTTTGTGTTACAGATTTGTCTTGTACAATTTCTCATTGAAAATTGCCTCAGGATATTTGGAGAAGACATCACTTCCCTCTTGGGCGAGAACTCAATGAGTCGTGGTAACAGCGAGAAGGCTGCAGGTACCGGGAGTAATTTAATTGGCTTTAGTGAGAAGCAGACAGCAATGTTGCCAGGGGTCATGGGAGAAGTTCTGGAGCCCAGAGCATCGCCAGGGCAAGGATTTCCATGTGCTCCTTCTTCCGAAGGCTGGCTCACTGATCGGGGGAGGTTCCACACTGTTGTGAGACCAAAGAAAGGACAAGATGAGATGTCTGACTTAAAGAAGTTTCTAGTGTAGATCATAAGGGCATTAGGACACTTCATGGTATGCTACAGTGTTTGGGAATTTTTTCTAACAAAATTCTAAATGGGTTCTCTCTCTCTCTCTCTATATATATACACATATATATATAACATCATATATATGTAGTTATATATATATAATATATAATTAGATACTTATTCTATATAAATATATAATCATAATATATATATTTATGTATATTAGATGTGCTCTGGTTGAAGCCAGAGCAAGGGGCCTTTCTTCCCCTCCCTCCTCTTTTGGCTCAGGGGCTCTTGAGGCACCACAGGAATCCAGTGCCCTTTGAAACGGGTTGAAAAGAACTGGCATCATTGAGAAAAAAGGACTTGACTTGATGTCAAACAACCTCTCCAGAGTGTAAATTCCTATGCCCCCATTTACCAGCTATATTATATTTGGCCAGTTATTCCAGCTCAGCATCAGTTTATTCATCTCTAAAATGTAGATAAAAATAATGTCTAAATCTTAGAATTGTGGTAAACACTAAATAAGATGATGGATGGAATCCACAAAAAGCCATTAATAGGACTAGGAGAAGTGCCCCTGAGAGTACAGCTAGTACGATTTGAGCCTAGCTAATCACAGCTACCTGGCAGCAGTCCACCTTAGAAGGTAGACTTTCGATTCAGAACCTGGAGACACGTATCATCAATCCCTCCATATTTCTGACATTTCTTGGTTTTATGATGCTTACCACATTGCTTTGAGGAAATCTTTAGGAAAATACAAGTCATCAGGAATTAAGATGAGCCTGGAGCACATGGGTGGCTCAGTTGTTAAGTGTCTGCCTTCAGCTCAGTTCATGATCCGGGGGTCCTGGAATCGACCCCCGCGTTGGGCTCCCTGCTCTGAGGGAAGCCTGCTTCTCCCTCTCCCCCTCCCCCTGCTTGTGTTCCCTCTCTCGTTGTCTCTCTCCCTCTGTCAAAATATGAATAAAATCTGTAAAAAAAAAAAAAAAAAAGGAAAAAGAAGGTTCAGCATATTAAACAACAACTACTACTACTAGTACTCTCTCTTCTTCTTAGACTCCGGCCGGAAGACTGTGAAAAGCCCTTTTTTCAGAGACAGGGCCTTTTGGTGGGGCTCCCGCACTTGCCAGCTCACCCAGTGCACAGCCCCACCTTCCGCAAAGCCAGGACAGCTCTTTGGAGTTTCCCTCATGGATATCTGTGATAAAGACAACCTGCCCTTTCCAATTCTGGTAGGTCATCTCCTTTTGGTCTTCTATAGCCCTCCTGAGGAGCGGAAACTGAAAGGCCAAGCGTCCTCATCCAAATCTATCCCCAAATGGAGAAGTCATTACATAGTCCCTGGCTTTGGCAGAGAAGCTCTGTTACTGTTATTTCAAAGAACAGAATCTGATTTAGGTCCAGCAGACTCATGAGGCAAATACAAAAGGAAAAGACATTCTTGTCCATTCCACTTCTGTCTTCTTTCCACAAAGACCCATGGAGGCCTGTTCAGATCAGTCAAAATGGACTCTGTGTATGTGAGTCTCTGAGAGTCTACCTCATCTTCACACTCTCCCTTCATTGCCTTCCTGCTCACATGAGTCTCAAGTCTCCTTCAGCAGAGTCTACTCAGTCTAACAACTGCAAACATCTGACACAAGCATAGACTCATCCTCTGGCAAATAGGAATCTGTTAATCCTAACAGAGTATGGCAAATGAAAGCCACAGAGTTTGGCCCGTGTTATCTCAAACTGCTGTAGTGAATTGTCAGTGTGTACATTCACTGAGTATTCGGTATCTCTGCAAGCACTGTACGGGATGTAGGGAACGTTCTGCTAGCTATGAAGAAATATATCACCTTAGCTAGCATGTTACCTGCTAGCTACTACCCCAGGTCCATGCATCACGGCAAATTTAGGGGCTACCTAGGATTATCATCCTCCGCACTGCCTAAACGAATCAGAAAAGCCTCAGTACAGGATGTATGTGCCCCAGCTCACACAATAGATAAGTAGCATAATAGACTTCAGATCCGTTGGATTCCCTGAGTCCAGCCCTTATTATGTTTCTACACAGCAGGGAGTGGACATGAAGATAGAGCAAAAGACAATTTAAGACTCATGAGAAGGGAGGGTAATCAGAGAAGGACAAGAGAGTTTCTGAGCCTGACTTTACAAGAGGGAAGGAAATAGAACAAGTAGGAAAGGAGTATAGAGTCACTTAAAGAGAAATAAACAAATGGGAAATGAGTATTTCCTAAATAGACTTCCATACTTGGGGAAGAGCATCTATGTAGGGAATAATTAGAAAAAAATGCTAAATTAGGAAACAGATGGTGATTCCCCAAAGGCTTTGAAGCAGAGAAGTTTGATTTAAAAGTGGAAACTCAGTGGATAGGAAAATCTGATTAAAAGAAGTGTTTAAAATGTTTCAGTGTATGACTGTAAAATGGATATTTGGGTAGAAAGTATATAGAGAGACACTGAAAAAAAAAAACAATCTAAATTGACTTTAGTCCTTCCAGCTCAAAAACAGTGTACCATTACATTCCCCTCCTCTTTCAAAACGGAGGCAAGCTTGTGCTCTGCGTTTTTGGATATGAGATGCCATATACTTTTCTTTTCTTCCTACAGGATATGCTTTCCTTTATTAATCAAAAAGGGCCACTCACAGAAGGCGTCTTCCGCAAATCAGCCAATATAAAATCCTGCAGAGTCCTAAAGAAAAAACTAAATTCTGGGGTCAAAGTGAACCCGTACAGCGAATCTGTTCATGTGGTCGCATCCGTCTTAAAGGTAGGGAAGGTTCTAGCATTATCCACACGTGAGTAACTGAAGCTATGATTGGTGTCCTTCATCATGACTGCTCAAGAACTGTAATGGGCATAATAGATTAAGAACCTGACAAGCTGAAAATGCTTGAGAAAATCAAAATTTAAGGAAGCTACTTTAGGAGTTAAAAGCCCCATGTGTTAGAAATACTTTCTGTTTTCACTACACGCCGCCCTCCCCACCTCCACTCCTGAAGACTCCATGCAAAATACTAATACTGAAATGACTACTAGTCATGATAATAAATTTCAAAATACGCACTGACACAAACACACTGTTTACCGAAGCAGACATCCTCACCACCCTGCTAATGATGGCAAAGTTTCCAAAAGAAATAGAGCAGGGAAAAAATTTAATCCATCCACCTTGGCACTAATTAACAGCTCTGAACAACCCTATGTTAATGTAGTAATGAGTACAGTCTTTGAATCTCAGTCACATTTGGTCTTCCCTTGTCCCCCGTTAATGTTCGAAGATGTGATAAATAGCAAATGACTTAGGTAACCACTCCTACTCTGGGACCATAGTGATATCCAGTAGTATACATGTAGGCATTGGGAGACAGGAGAAGAATGATGATACACTAGGTAGCAAGATGAGCGTTGCCCTCTGTAAGGTGCACACATGGAATCGATTTTTTAGCAAGAGTTAGGAGGTTCCTTCCTGATTCTGTGTTATCAGCACCGACTAGGAAGAGGGTGTGCACTTGTGGGTATGGTGCTTAGACATTTCTAAAGTTTTCTCTTCCTGAAGTTGACGGATCTTGGTGGAGAATCAGACTCTGCAACCTTGGCCTTGATAATATCATGGCAAACTAACCGGACAATTGTCCTAAACTAGAAATGAATCTATCCTCAGGACCACAGTGAGTCTGCCATTAGACTCTCGACTTTTAGACAGTTAAGAAAAGGAAGAATGAAGCAATTGTGAGAGTAGCTTTCTTCCAGGGAGCACACATACCCCGAGCGAGAAGACCTAGTTCTTTCCTAATATGTGTGCAAGAGCCCACCTGTTTGTGTTTTGATTGTTTCAGGCCTTTTCTTGCTAGAATTAAGAGCTAGCACTTTGTCTAAAACAAGCAACATGGGTATGTGTATTTCTGTCCAGGAAGCTAATAGGATTTAGGATGGTCTATAGCCAGACCCTGTCAGTTTGTGGTACTTTGCAAAAAAAGCACCCACAAAAAATAAGTTCCAGAGGATAGAAGGGAGCTTTATCTTCATTTCCACCACAGCCTAAGCTCTGCTTTTATGCCTCTAAGTTTTAGCGGGAGAAAATCCAAGCACCTGCTCCTGCGTGTGCAAGTCAATGGAGACTCAGAGCCGAGCTCCGTGTGGGTCCCAGTTTGGGTATCTGTGAAGGAAGTGGGGGCTGAACTGAATTTTTTAACTACATATTTTCTCTGGAATATTTCCAATAAATATTTTCTACAATATATATACATATTTTTTTATCTCCATAAGGACTTTCTTAGAAATATCGAAGGAAGTATATTTTTATCCGATCTCTATGACAAATGGCTCAGTGTTATTGATCAAGGCAACAAAGAGGAGAAGATAACTGCAGCCCAGAGGTAATGATGCCATAATTACTCTACTCTGGTCACATCTCCAAAATACACCCAACATACTATCAGGAAAACATTGGCTTACGTTTTGCAGCTTTGCCTACTAAAATCATGACCAACGCCAAAGAGTTTCAATTCTTCACACCCATGGGGTCCAGCTTCAGAATAGAGGCATGCTTTAGGGCTATTATTGTTCTTCTCCTGATCTTATTAATGTGGACTCCTTGGCCATTTTACCCCTTCTGGATCCATGAAAGTGGTAGACGAAATTCCCTGGTCCAAGACAGATGCTAGAGCATTGACTTCCAGGGCTATGACCTTAAAAGTCTGTGAAACATTTAACTAAGCAGAGAAGTTGTTATCTGGCTCAGGAACTGAATTCAGTGCAACAATTTTGTATACCTTCATGCCTGGAACTCTGCTAGAGCGGGTTGTGTGCTAGATATACAAGGATGTATCCTGTTCCCTGTCTCTGTTTTTCCAACCTCTTAAGTGGGATCACTTGCCTAATTTAAAAGTGTGTTTTTCTGACTTTAGGCTTTTAGCCCAGCTGCCAAGAGCAAATGTTGTTCTCTTGCGATACCTTTTTGGAGTGCTATACAACATTGAGCAACATTCCTCATCCAATCAGATGACAGCTTATAATTTATCCGTTTGTATAGCCCCAAGTGTTCTTTACCCACCTGATTCCGGCAGCTTGGAATTGGAAGACAACTTGATAAGAAAGGTAATGAGAGGTCTCATTCTTGTCCCCCAGGGGGTAGAATCCCTACTTTGAACCAGACAAGTGCAGTAGTAACTCTGACGGATGGAACTTTGTGAAGTGCACATTTTCATTAGGCCCCTGTGGAGTGGCAGAGTTCTTTATCCTACTCTGGCGGGGTCTGGGAAGGGGTGTCGTTAAACGGGAAACTCGGAGCAGTCGAGTCACTTCTTCCCCCTCCAGGAGACTAAACACTAGACTGATTAACGAGAGAGAGAAGAGTCGTGTGATACGATAGGAAAGAACCTGGGCTTTGGAGCTTCACCAGTCAAGGTTCAACTCTCAGCCTAATCCCTGAGGGACTCGTAACCTTGGGCAAAGCCATGGTTTCCTCACTACACAATGGCGACAACAGCCAGCTCCTCCGGTCATCACTGGCACATCCTGGGTAGCTTGGGCAATATGAGCCCCCATGCCTCCAAACACATTGGCCTTCCTCTGCCAATTGTGGCTCATCTAGAAAAGTACTCAGCTACTATTTCACCTCTGCTACGTCATATGGAAACTAGCAAGAGATTCCAGAATATCCTAATAAGATGACAGGTCTTCCCCAAGCTCACCCAGAGAGAGCCAGCATGAGGCAAAGCAATGCGTGAGAAGCGACTGAAGTTAGACAGACAGATACGTTTTCTCTCCTGCTGTGTCGGTTTTCCCTCACAACCCCACCAAAATCCCTGCTTCCCAACTTTATGATACTTCTTCATTTAAGAAATGGTTTTCTTAAGTTGTCGTTCATACTTTATAAAGTTTCATAAGATGGTATACATCAGTTACAGCTCAGTAAAACTGGAAACAAAATTTAAAAGCAAAAAAATAAGTAAACTTTAATAAGGTAGGGTACTTTGAAAATTATCCTAGTTTTATTTATTTTTTTGATATGTATTTATTTGAGAGAGGGAAAGAGAGAGTGTGAGAGGGGCAGGGGCAGAAGAAGAGGGAGAGGGAGAGGGAGAAGCCCAAGCCGATTCCCTGCTGAGCACGGAGCCCAAAGTTGGCTCCATGTGGAGCTGGATCTCACCACCATGAGATTGTGATCTGAGCCGAAATCAAGAGTCAGACGCTCAACTGAGGGGCCCCCAAATTTATCCTAGGCTTAAAGACGTAACCACTGATCCCAAAATGTTAGCTCTTAACCTAGGCCACGCATTATAACTTTAGCCCACGGATGAGCAGTATTTTAAAATGTGTACCCAAAGTACACGGGAAAGTATCACTCTTTCTAAGTTATTTCTGAGAGAACTCTGGTTTCTATGTGTTTTTGTTTTTAGGTTTTTTCTTAAGCTTTTATTTATTTACTTGACTGAGAGAGACACAGCGAGAGAGGGAACACAAGCAGGGGGAGTGGGAGAGGGAGAAGCAGGGTTCCCGCTGAGCAGGGAGTGTGATGTAGGGCTGATCCCAGCACCCTGCTTTCATGACCTGAGCTGAAGGCAGACGCTTTACCGACTGAGCCACCCAGGTGCCCCTGGTTTCTACGTATTTTTATCAAGTCTGAATTTTACTGGGAAGTCCTTCCCATTTTTTCTTAGATCCAAGGTCTGTATACAAAATGTGATTTATAACTATGCCCTATGGAAAAGAGCACCCCATTCTTGTCTTTTGTGTTACAGATTTCTCTTGTACAATTTCTCATTGAAAATTGCCTCAGGATATTTGGAGAAGACATCACTTCCCTCTTGGGTGAGAACTCAATGAGTCGTGGTAACAGCGAGAAGGCTGCAGGTATCGGGAGTAATTTAATTGGCTTTAGTGAGAAGCAGACAGCAAGGTTGCCAGGGGTCATGGGAGATGCTTAGACAGAGCTGTTCTGGAACCCAGAGCATCGCCAGGGCAAGGATTTCCATGGGCTCCTTCTTCCGAAGGCTGGCGCACAGGTCAAGGGAGGTTCCACACTGTTGTGAGACCAAAGAAAGGATAAGATGAGGTCTCTGACTTCAAGAAGTTTCTAGTGTAGATCATAAGGGCATTAGGACTCATCATGGTATGCTACAGTGTTTGGGAATTTCTCTAACAAAATTTGAATGGGTGCCATATATATATGTCATATCATACATATATGTTTAGTTATATATAATATATAATTAGAAATTTAGAATATCTAATTTTTAAACACAATGTATATACTTATGTATATTAGATGTGCTCTGGTTGAAGCCAGAGCAAGTGGCCTTTCTTCCCCTCCCTCCTCTTTTGGCTCAGGGGCTCTTGAGGTACCACAGGATTCCAGTGCCCTTTGAACTGGGTTGAAAAGAACTGGCATCAGTTCTTTCTCTCTAAAATTGTGGATAAAAATATTGTCTAAATCTTAGAATTGTTGTAAAGATTAAATAAGGTGATGGATGTAAAATAAATTTCAAAAAAAAGCCATTAATAGGACTAGGAGAAGTGCCCCTCAGACTAGAGCTAGTATATTTGAGCCTAGCTAATCACAGCTAACTCGTAGCAGTCCACCTTATAATAGACTTTCGATTCAGAACTTGGAGACACATCTCATCAATCCCTCTATATTTTTGACATTTCTTGGTTTTATGACGTTTTTGTCATTGCTTTGAGGAAATCTTTAGGAAAATACATGTCATCAGGAATTAAGATAAATCTAGTGTAGTGTCTGAGAATATGCTTATATAAGACAACTGTTTATTCTTCATTTCAGTAGTGTCAGGAAATCAACCTCTTGAATCCAAGCCAGTGAGAGTGAGAGTGATTTACAAAAAGGCACAACTGCAGAATGATACGAAGACCCCATCTGGCATGGTTCCACCCAGCTACCTGTCTACAGTTTTCTAAGTCACTGAAGACTACCATCTACATAATGACACTTGACTCTTCCGTTTTCTTTAGTTCCTATAAAATAGAAAATAAAATGAACTGTTTTTCCAATGAATGAAAAATGAGCCCCTTCCAAGGAACTTGCTCATCCCATTAGAATTTTTCTTTTGCCTCATCTCATATTATCCATATTGAGGAAATCTTCCCACAAAGTATCTCCTCTGTCTTCAATACCTACCATCTCATATCATGTACTTTGTTGCATTGTAGTGTATTGCATATTTTTATACTGATGCAATAAAAGTAATTCCATCACTCAGTGGGTTAGACATCCATTTTACTTGTTTATGATTCATATCAACACTTCAGTGGAGGCTCATCTGAGCAGTTCTGGTCTCAGCTGAGGTCACTTGAGCACCTGCAGTCAGCTGGCAGCTCATCTCGAGCTAACCTAGGAGTCTGTTTATTGGTGTTGGCTCTCAGCTGGTCCCCATGTCTTCAACGAGCTAGACTGTCCTGCATATGGTGGAGGAAGAGTTGCCAGAAGCAAGAAAGGCTTTTCAAGAGTTAATGTGGGAGAGGACTGTGCAAAGCACCAGGCCAAAGACAGTGATTTACAAGACAAGGAGGCATTCATTATTTATTAAGACCACACATGATAATCAAAGCTCAAGGCAGCACCACTACTACACACATCCTTTTATTCATCGGCTTTTAATCCTCAGTGGATTATAATCAGCAATTCCTAAAAGGCATTCAAAGTGTGGTAGGAAGTATCTTTGAAATAATAACTGATTTTTTACCTCAGGTCTTCTTTGCCTCTATCCTTGTCCCGGTCTTAAGCTGTCTTACGGACAACTAAATCACTTCCTCAGGGAATAGAAGCTATAGGAGAATATGAGGAAAAGGGAGCCCTTTGTTGCTTATGAGTTTTAAAAATTTAGCTTTCTAGGAAACAAAACTTACTCATGGCATAGAGTAGAAGATTTAGGTGGAAATCTCATGGGAAAAGCCCAAAATCATTAGGTACATGGGACATCTGCCCCTTTTCCTGGATAGAAGCCAAAAGAAAGCAGGAAGGCCTCACAGAATAGCTAATTGACTTGTCTAAGAAAGACGGGGCCCCTGTGGGTCCACATAGAGTTTCTTATACCTCAGCATGGAACAGATCAGTAAGAAAAGTATTCCCATCAATTCCAGAATAGTATGGAAGAACTACAGAGAGCCACCAGGTTTGAAAGACATGTCTCAACAACAGTAGTACTGACCAATTCCCCAGGACCAGAGAACAGTTAGGACATCTCAGCAGATGCTAGTATACATCAATGACCCAAAGCAGCAGATAAGTGCCACCTCGCCATTTCATAGCCTTCTAACTCCCTGGCACTAGAAGACTCCAGAACATAGACACACTCCTGGGGGAAATTAAGAGATCCTGAATTTCTACCAATCTGGGAACAGAGAATCAAACTAGACACCAAGCGAGCTATTTAAAAACACAGAATTGGACATTTATTACATATGTCAATGTATACATTGAGGTTGGTATCAATATATATAGAATATATGATCCAAGCACAGTTTTCCTAGAAAGGGTTCCCTGGTCAAATAGGTTAGGGAAATTCTGTATTTTCCTTTTGAAGTCAAATGCTCCAGTTTTTTCCACACTTATTTGACATTGCTTGGCCCTTTTGAAGTAACCCCATTAATTAATGATCCTGGGAACATACATTAATAAACATCGCTCTGAATTTATTTCTTCTTAACTCACAGATTTTACCATTTCACTCACCTGCTAAGAAGCCATCAATAGATCTTTGAATTTTTTTTTTTTTCAGAAAAAAATGTCCTTTTTTAGATCCTCCACAATGCAACCTGCTCTAGTAATCAATTTTGTCTTCACTCTTTCCCATTGTAGATCCTTTGCTTTAGCTAGGTCAGAAACGTTACTGGTCCCTGAATAAGTCACACTCACTTTTCTAACTATAATCCTCACCTCTCCTTGGTCTCTACGTTTCCACCCACTAACTAGGTAGCCATCTGGGTTCTCCACTCCCAGAATTTCACAAAGCCTTCCTGATCTCAAATTAATTGTTCTTTACATGAGCGCTTGCCCCTACTAGACATTGGCTCGTATGCTGCTTTGCACCGTCAGGAATTATGCCAGTGTGTTCATACATTATTCAGCAAATCCAAATTCCTGTGGTAAACAACTGTATCTTGTGTTAGTTTTATATTACTT